ATATTATAATATATATCTTTAATTTTCTTCTCTATAATTTATTTTATATAATTTAAATTAATTTTCTTGATTATTTCATATTTAATAATGAAAAAGATTTTAAAAATTAATTATTATCAAAAATATTATTTTTGAAGAATATAATATATAAATATTTTTTTATATTTCAGTGGAGGAAATTGCCAGCAGGAGAGAAACAAGCTTGGGAAGAAAGAGCAATTAAAATGAATGAAGATGGAGGACAACTTAAAGGAAATAATGTTTCAGTAGGCACTAATGCTTTGCAAGATGTAGTTTATGAATGTTGTTGGGATAATTGTGATTGGCAATTTGAAGATATGACTGATTGTATTGATCATTGTATTGCAGAACAAAATGGACATGTTCAATTATCCTTTATTAATGCTGCAAGCGGTATGTATTTTGTATTATTTTGAATATCATCATAAATAAATAAAATAATAATATTTAAAAAATTGAAAAATATATTTTTTCATAGATGTGGAATTTCAATGTCAATGGCGTGGTTGTGGCCGCACAAAAAAATCTGTACCTCCTTTTCCAAGTGTACAAAGACTCGCAAGGCATGTTAAGGAAGTACATATCCTTAAATCAAATGGACGTATAATACCTCCTTCGGAAAGAAGCAAGTATGATGTCAAAGTGCTGTATAATAAACTATAATAATACTATGTTAACCGGCTATGGTTTAGCTTCGTTTACCGTTGGTATGTTACTAGTTTTTGAAATTGGTTCCGCAAGTAATCTTTAATTTTACGAATTTAAAACAAATATAAAGTATCTGTCTACAGAGGTTTTTAAATCGATAAACTTTGCTAATATATTTAGGAACTGAACAAAAAATTATTATGATTAATTTTATTGAAATATGGAAATGATATGAATCAAAAATAATTAAATATTCAAGTTATTTGATTTATTTAATAATAATTATTTATTTGAAACAAATAAAATTTACATTTTAAAAAATATAACAATATTTTTCAATAAGATTTTTCCTAATAGATAAAAAAAAAATGAACTTCTCAATCTAATATTTTTTATTTTTTTAGATTTATTTTTTTAAAATTTTTTTGGATTGAAATCAAAAATATTTAAATCGAAAAACGAATGTCTGTATATTGATAGCATACATCAAAAAAATAATTATTAATATCAACAAATCAATTTAATGATGCGAATAATGGACACTTATTTGCATGTATATAATATATCATTTTAAATAATTTGTATAAATTAGTATAAATTAATATAAAATATAATTTCAAAAAAATAATTATCACTAAAAATTAAATAGTTTAAATCTCATATATATATCTCATATATAATTTATATCTTTCATATTTCAAAAATGAAGATAAATTGACTTATGATATATATAATGAATTTTTTTTGAAACATAGATATACTTTACTTGTACTTCAGAAAAAAAAAATACTCAAAATTTTTTAAAATTGATAACAGATACGATTCCGATTAGTAATATATTACTATTGTAATAGTTTCAAATTTATGCAATATATTTTATTTTCATTTACATTTTTTTTTACAGAAATTATATGGCATCAAAAGGTCCAACGGTATTGCCACCTATGGAAACAGGTAATAATATTTTACTGAAATGAATAATTTATTTTTTTTTTTAAATTCATTTAATATTTACTATAGTAATATTTATAAATATTCTTTAATTCTATATTTAAAATTTTTATTTTCTATCTTTATTATTATTATTATCATCATCATCATCATCATCATCATTATTATTATTGTTATTATTATTATCATTATTATTATTATCATCATTATAGAAACATCAGCAGCTGCGACACAAACAAGCAATATTCCTGCTACCAAACAACCAGAACCTATGTTTGTTGCTGTTCCTCCACGACCAAGTCGAGTTTTACATTCAGATGCCTATTTACGGTAAATAAATTGAATATTTTTACAATTTAATTTACATTATTAATATATATATATATATATAAATATTTGTATTACAACTATAGGTATATTGAAGCATTAAATGTAGAAAATCGGTACATATCAAATTGGGACAAACAAATGAATGCTAATCCTGATAATACACAAATTCCTGATGTAACGAAATTACCGGCTGAATGGTTAGGCAATGGTGTAGGTAACCACGGAAATGTGGTAAATGCTTTATGGACGCTCAGGAATATGATGATGCGAGATGTGTTAGCCATCAATAAAACTTTATAGTTTATAATTCGTTAAGACTTATAATCTTTACTATTCGATGCTACCTTAAAACTACAATTTTCAGGTCCGTCGATGCTAGATGAAAGACTGAAGATTTATTATTTTGAATGAGTATATTTATATTTTTAGATTTTTTTTTATTTTACAATTCTAATTAGTACTTCAAATATAACTTAATTATAATACATATTTTTAGTCATTTTCAATTTATAATAAGAGATTAATTAAAAGATTTTCTTATCATAAGATTTTCAATAACAAATGCAAGATCTGCAAATATATTTATCAGAAATAATTCAGATTAGTAAAACATTAATTTCTTCATTAAATAAAATACATATTATAAGCATTATTTTCGATACGTCTATGGATCTGTTAGGAGTAGGAAAAAAATATTACACTGTAAGAATCATCACTTTGTAAATATTTCGCTATTTTTAATTTTAACTTTTCATAACGAAAATTTTGTATTTTGTATCGCGCATCATGAAAGTGTGATTTGAAATTTCTTGTATTCATACTGTAAAATGAAACTGTACTGTAAATATTAAATAATGCACTTCAAAAAACAATTTAATATAAATAATACTATTATTGTATCTATGAATATTAATCTTATGTTATATAATCATACATTTTAATATTTAATATTTTCATTTACTTTTTTAAAAGAATTTTAATATAAAAAAAAATATTTAATAATTATTATTCATAATTTTTTTTATGATATTGATTTAATAGCTTCAATGAATAATATTACTAAATTGTATATATATTTAAAGATGAAAATAATTTTTTATAGCATAAAAATGCACAAAAATTTTCTCACTCAGCAATAAAATATTCTACGTGAAGATAACATAACTAATTTATTTGAAAGTCTGCTTATCATTTAAAAAAATTAATATATATAAAAAAAGATATTGCATTTATTAAAATTAAAAATACAATTTTATTATATTAATTATAATTAAAATTGATTGTTCTTATTAAGAAATATAAATGAATAATGAAAGAAAAAAATTATATCAATTAAATATATATTTATTATAATTATTATTTTATAATAATATTAAATAATATTAAATATTATTACAAATTAAATAAAAATAATATTGTATCTATTTTATTTTATCATTGAAATATAAAAAAATTGATAATTTAATCATATGTTATTCAACACATTTTAGTTAAAAATTTTTGAATAGAAATGTTTTCTTAAAACTTTGTTTATATATCTTTTTATTATTTCTTTTTATCATAATTTCTATTTATGAAAACGAAAANTATATATAATATATGTAATATTATATACTAAATAATATAGTGAATATAATATAATTAATATTATATATAATAATAATTAATAAGTATTTTTAATTCTGTTTCAATTTTTAATTTCTTTTTATTATTAATATTTTACTATTTATTTATAATTTCAATTTATTTATTATTTATTTATACAATAAAAAATTTTAGAATTGTCATAGAGAAAAACTATTTCATTTACTACTAATTATTCAAAATTTGATCTAGATTATTTTTTTAAAAATACATTGAAGATTAGAAATATAATTAACAAATAAGATTTATAAAAATAGAATAATAAATTTTATAAATTTTAATGAATTGAGATTGTTATGTTTTTATATTTTTTTATATTTATATCTTCAAATGAAGATGTAAGGTTTTAGATCAGAAGTCGCTCACCCGTCCACCGTTCTGCCAGTCTCCCCACTTCGTTGGATCTTTTTCATTATTTGTTATTAATTCTCCATTATTTGGATCAGTTTCCACTAAAACCAAGTCCACAAAACGTTCTTTTGGTGGTATTCCTATTATTATATCTTTTTATATCAATTGTATTTAATAATTTATGGTAATCTTAATTTCATAAAAATTATTTCATATTTACATATATGTGCTGTACTTACTAGGTATAGGTTGCAATTTTAGTTTTTTATGAAACTGTTTCATTCTTATTGATTCTTTTTTCTCTAATTTTGCATCTGGTTCTTTAACTCGCAATAAAAAACCTACGTATAATGAAGAAATATTCAATATTTTACAAATTAAAATTTATATATTACATACCTGTTGAAAATGCTTTAGATTTATACATTAATGATTTTATAGAAATTTTATTTATAAAATCAAGCATTCTGATATTAACGTAAAAACCTCTCAAAGAGACTTTTAGTTTCAAAATATCCATATTTGTATATTTTGTTGAAATGATTAATTTATTAATTTTAGTATTCTTTTGTTATGCTTTTGAAAAAATATTTTTTACATATATGATCTGTATATATATTTTTTGTAAATTGTCAAATGTTTTATATTTATTTTTTTTATTATAATTTATTATTTTAAAATAAAAAATTAAATAATATAGAAAATGATTCCTTAATAATAAAAAATATTTTTACATATAAAAATATTTTATTCAAATAAAATATTTATTATTTAATTATATTTTTTAGATATAATGAAATTTTTATTACTAAAATACATTTTAATTGCACATCCTATATAAGATATACTATTATATTCATATAATATTGCATTAAAATATCACTAGAAATCTGTCACTCGACCTTTTCTTTCCCAATCACCATATCGTGTTGGTTCTGGTCCACGTGGTCCTCCTATCTCACCTGTTTTTGGATTCATATTATTTGGAAATGGTTTTAATGGTTCTTTTTCTTGATAAGGATGTTTGCCTTCTTCGAGTTCTTCTAATTTTTCTGATTATTATATATTAAATATATTTATTTTATTCATTGTATTATTATAAAAAATTTTTAAAAAGAATAAAATTACCTATAGGTGTACGTTCTCTTAATTTTTTTCTAAATTCACGCATTCTCGGACTTTCAATCGTTTCATTTTTTTTTGAAAAAAGAAATTGAAATCCTGGAAATAAAATTATTATATTATCGTTTTATATCGTATTTAATTTTGCAAATACTTACGTATATGTAGAAATTTATTTGAAAATTTTATAGTTTCATGATTTATTTTTAGCAATTTAGAAATTATGATATTTGTAGTAAACATAACCTTATTCATTATGCGATTAAAACAAAATTATATCATATTAAAACTATATAAGACTATGTAACAAATTTTTATTAGAAATTAATTGAATTTTAATTATTAATATTATAATTGTGCAATAATTATTATTATTGTACAATTGTTAACATACATAATATATACTTTGTACATAAGATATTAAAAACTCGTAGCACAATTGAAAGAATAATTTTAGATATCAAAAGAAATATAAAAGTTGATAAAAATATTGAGATTTATTTTTAAAATTAATATTTCAAATTTAATTTTAGAATATTTAATTTCCCAATGAAAAATATAAAATAATGTATTAATATATCATATTTTAAATACATATTTTTTAATACATATTCTTGAATTATATGTTAATAAATTTTTAATGTAACAATATGTATAATTCAATACAATATATTATATTAAAATTTTAGCAATCACAACTTATAATACAATATTAATAAACTAATTTTTTACTCTTCCTAATATTATAATTTATTTAGTATAAAATTAAATCGTTATTATTTATATGTGTCTAGAAAATCAATTTTCCAAAAATATTTTAACGATTCTTAACATCCTCCATATATATATACATTCAATACTCAAAAAATAAATAAAAATATATGTAATATGTAATAAATTATAAAAGAACTAAAATTAATATTTTATAAGTATAGTATAAATAGTAAAAACTATAATTTAGTAAAAACTATAATAGTAAAAACTAGTAATATATCGATGAAGTATTATAAGTATTATCGTTAATAATCAAATAAAAAAAAATTTTTCTTTAAACTTATATTATAAATATATAATTTAAATACAAATTGTTAATTTTATTGATTAATTTAATTTTTAATATACAATATAATTGAATATATTAGATAATATATTAATGTATTAAAAATAAAAGTAATAAACATTAAATTTTTTTATTATAAGTCTAGAATAGCTTATTATAATCTTTTAACAAAACAAATCAATAAAATTATGTGATTAAAATTTAGAAGAAATAGAATTTAAAATTCTGGAATATTATAAATTTTTTACATAAAATAAACTAAACTATTATTCGAATATGTCAAATTTAAATAATTAAATTAAAATAAAAAAAAAATAAATTCAATTCAACAAATAATTTTTAAAATAAAATTTATAAATATTCACAATATGTATTTTATTATATATACATTAAAAAAAATAAATTAATTTAAAATTAAGAATATTTATCTTTTTCTAAAATTTTATATAACAATGAAAATAACACTGCTTACCAATTTATATTCATGAGCACAAATATGTTTTACGTAATATACTTTAATACAATCATTCTTGATTAACAGTTTTCACTTATTATCAGAGTTACAATATCTAAATTACATAATTTGTTTTGTTTATCTGTGTGAATTTGTTTCCTTAAATTATGTATATATTTCTAAAATTTTATAATATAAACTATATATATTAAACATTAATATAAACGAATCGTTACTAGCAAATGAAAATCGATATCTTAATATAAATCGATATAATATATTCAATAACATTTTGATATAAAATAGTTTAACTTAATTATAAATTAATAAAATGTGATTGATATACTTCTCTATAAAAGGTAAACTAATTAATTATGATTAATAATATTAAAAATATTATTAATCATATTTTAAACATAATATATATTTATTAAGTTTTTCAAATATGTTATAATTTAGTAAAGTATAAAAAAAGTTATAATTTTTCGAGTAGGCCATGGAAAAATTTTATATATATTGTAATATATGGTTTATTGTATTAATTTTACATTACTTAAAGTAATATTTATTAACAAAAAAATTTGTGCAATATTATATAATTCAAATTTAATTAAATTTAAAAACTTTTTTATTTGAAGAAGTCTTATAAGTGTATTAACCTACGTATTTAAATATTAAAATTTTTCAAATTATAATCTTTTTTTAAACAAATGAAATTAAATTATGAAGAAAAATGCATTAAAATTAATAAATTTTATATAATTCTGATTAATATAATTATTGAACAAAAAAAAAAATATATCTCTAAATAATAAATTATACTTAAAAATTATTTAAAATTTTTCATTCTATTAACCAAAAAATTAATGATTAATATAATTTTTTATATATACACATGATATTTTAAATATATGAAAAAAGAGAGAAACTAGATTTTTGTTCTAGTTTAATAATTTTATATTTAATAAAATTTATATACAATTTATAATATATATATATATTTATTATACATATCTTTATTATATACATATTTATATTTTTGAAATTTAAAATGCATTTTATATGCTCTTTAAAGAACACTGCATTATTAAATATATCATATATTCTTCAAAAACAAAACCATAGATCTATGAAGATAATGACTATAAGAGAAGCATTAAATTCAGCTATTGATGAAGAATTAGAACGAGATCCAAGAGTATTTATTTTAGGAGAAGAAGTTGCACAATATGATGGTGCTTACAAAATAACAAAAGGTCTTTGGAAAAAATATGGTGACAAAAGAGTAATTGATACTCCTATAACAGAAGCTGGATTTTGTGGTTTAGCTATTGGAGCAGCACTTGCTGGTTTAAGACCAATATGCGAATTTATGACATTTAATTTTTCAATGCAAGCTTTTGATCGAATTGTAAATGGTGCTGCTAAAAATTTCTATATGACTGGAGGAAAATTTTCTGTACCCATTGTTTTTCGTGGTGCAAATGGTAATGCTAAAGGTGTAGCAGCACAACATTCCCAATGTTTTGTAGCATCATACACACATATACCTGGCTTGAAAGTTATGTCTCCAACAACTTGTGATGATTATAGAGGTTGTTTTAAAGCTGCTATTCGAGATCCTGACCCAGTTGTAATGTTAGAAAGTGAAATGATTTATCATATTAAATTTCCTACATCAGATGAAGCTATGGATAAAGATTTTATCATACCTATTGGTAAAGCTAAAATTGAAAAACCTGGTAAACATATTACTTTAGCTACACATGGTTTAGCTGGTGTGCATACATTGAAAGCAGCAGAACTTCTGGCAGGAGAAGGAATAGAAGCAGAAGTGGTTAATTTACGTTCTCTTAGACCATTAGATTGGGATACACTTTTTCAATCTATTTCAAAAACTCATAGACTTATGACTATTGAATTAGGATGGCCTACATGTGGAATAGGTGCTGAAATTGTGGCAAGAGTTATGGAAAATCCAGTATTTTTCCAACTTGATGCACCAGCTGTACGTTGCACGGGTATTGATGTACCTACACCATATGCAGAAAATCTTGAATATGAAAGTTTACCAAAAGACCATCATATTGTAGATTTTGCTAAAAAACTTTGTGGTGTAGCAAAAATATAACTTTATTAATTTAATTAATTTAATTAATTCATAATTTCGAGAATAAAAATTATAGAATAGAATTTATTGCTAAAAAATTTTATAGTAACAAAAATGTAATTTTATTAATCTTTTTTGAGAATAAAAATTTATTTATTATAAATCATTGAATTTATTTTCTATGATATAAAATATGGTTAAAATAATGATTTAAAAATAATTTGAAGATATATTACATATTCAAAATATTGAATTTGCAGAATAAATTCATATTTCTATAGGTTTATATATAAATTTAGAAGATATACTTAATTATATTATATTAATAATTTATATTATTTTTAATTAGGATATGGATATTAAATGAATTTTTACATTATTTAATTAAATCTTAAAATCCTTTTTAAATTATAGATTATTATTTAAAAATTATATATACTTAAAAATTAATGTGTATGTTTCAGAATGTTCAAGTTTGATGCTGTATTGCTGGAAATTTAAAAATTTTAAAATATTTCATTTTCTTGAAATATTTTGTTGAATATGTAAAGTTTTGTGTAAATGGAATTCATTTCATTATTTGATATTTAAGATAGGTAATATAATATTATGACATTGTAATATTATAATTAAAAAAAAAATTTTACTTAAAAGTTTAATTATTATATTTGATAAGTGACAAGTTTTTTTTTTTTAAAATGAATTATATGAGTAATTTATATTACATATAATATAATTCAAAATAATATAATATTAAAAATAATATAGTTTTTTATATGATAAATAATATAATATTATTTAAATTTGTTTCAGCTACATATTCTTATAAAAGAATGGTTATAAATTGAAGAAAGATTAT